CCTCGTCCAAATCACTGATGAAGATGTTGAACAGGGTGGAACACGGAGCTTTCAGATTCCTTCCACTGTTACTTTTTCTGTAAGCTGAATATCATTTTATTTTCTGCCCACATATTCAAATACTTTTAGCACTAGAAAGGGAAATAGGTTTGTTATTCTTTATTTTCTTGCTTATCTCCCTATCCTGCCATCATGGTAACGCATCTACCACACTGAAGTCAATGGGAAGTTTCCTTTTTTGTGTCCTTGTGACAAGATATCTAACAAAATTTGCAGATTAGTCAGAATCTGACGGGTTGTACCATGAGCACTTCTGCTGTGACCTCAAACTTATAACCTTTGAGCTTGTCAACTGTGTCCCTTAGTGCCTGCACCACCCCAGACCCTGCAACATGAAGTAAGCATGAAGGAAAAGCCCTCATAGGCAAAAAAAACCCCATAATTGTATAGTTACTCCTGGTTATGAACATACCTAGAAGAAGGTGGGAACTCTCTCTTACGTAAGTTCCTCCTGGCACAAATTTATAAGCTGTGCACCACACACAGAAGAAAATTTCTAGAACACAGACAAACATGGCTGTACTCATGGCTTTCCCAGGATGCAGAGAGCTGATGAAATGTCCACTCAGTCGAGGCCATACACACATAGTAAACACGGCAAGGATGTTGCCGGCTATAGCAGCACTCCAGGTCTGTAAGTAAAGAAGACCAGCAGAAGATGCCATACCTATGAAGAGACACAAAAGACTGTCAGTGAGTCAATCAATTGCACTTTTCCTTTTTACTGCTCACAGTCTGAAAGATTTGGTTTTCTAAAAGACACAGGAAAAAATGGGTAGTAATCAGAAACTTAGTGTACTTAATGAAAAAGGTAGGCAGTATATAGGGCTACCCTTCAGAAAACAGTTACAGTCAATGAAAATTTCTGTGGCTTCTTCCATCTCATTCTCTCAGCCAGATTAGGGCTGGGCCCTGGACAGATATTGCATTTGTACTACTAAATTATAAAAAAAT